GACAAGCAGAAAACCTAAATAAGATCTTAAGAAAGCAATATTTTCCTAGCAAGAGGGGGAAGAAAGTCCTAAGGAATAAAACCAGCGCTGTATGACTTTGCGTGAGCACAGCGGACATCAATGTTGCTGTGAAATGATGGGATCTCATCAACAGGAGCCTGGAAAGACGCAGTGTGTTTTTTGTCAATGCGTTTCTAGTTCTTTTTCCAGTAAATGGGCTCCTGAGCATGAGTAAATTGAAGAGGGAAATTCCCTGAATCTGAGAACCAAAAACTGTCTTATTATTCTGTAAGTGTTTGCTTAAGCAGGGCAGACAGGATTTGCAGAGCTGAAAGATCGCAGAGCAGCTTCTGCCAGCTTGTCTTTCCTCAGCAAGGATGGTCGAGGGAGTCACGCCTGACGCTTCAGGAGAGGTGGAACAGTGCTGTGGAGTCTGGGCTGCTGAGCCCAGAGGTCAGAGCAGGGAAGTGGGAGCTAGGAGTCCTCTGACTCTTTCAAGGCAAGTCACTTACCCACCCTCCAATCACCTTTGATCCCTGGTCTGAAATGCAACTGGATATTGTTATTAGTGTTTACAAAAAGTACGTGGATCATGGATGCAAACTCCTCAATAAATGCACATTCTTCTTAACTGCCTTACTCTGACTTCCAAAAGATGTGCAAAGCCAGCTCTTTGGCCACCATTCTGGCTGCCTCCTGCTGTTCAAAGCTATCTTGTGAAGTTGTGGGAGCTGACTGCACTCTGCCATTGATTTGTCCTCTTTTCAGGAGTTAATGGTTGGCAATAGAAGCGGGCAGGAGCTGTGCACCTGCTCAACTGGATCGAAAGGTCGGCTCACTGTTTTGGGTACTGACTTTGTATCGCCCGCTTTCAGAGTTGTCTCCAAGAATTAAATTCTCCATCTTCTACACAAAACCAACTGTTAGCACCCACATTTTGCCGGTAGGAAAAGATTGGTGTCTTGTCCAAAATAAGTGTCCAAAATAAGACTTTCTGACTTTTGGGTCAGATACAGGGTGAGGGCTCAGGCATTTGTGGCACCAAGAACCAGCCCTTCTCGATGACCATAGATTTTTAGTACAAGAGCCTTGCTAGAGGCCTCACAAAGAGGGCAGGAATTCATTTTTTTTCATCTTTTGCTTTGTGATGAATAGGATGCAAATAATCTCAAAACAATGTGGCAAGCAATCCTGTTCTCTTCTTGATGCAGATGAGAGACAGCTCCACTGTTTTCCATGGGTGTTCACTGGAACTGGTGAAAGGAGATGCCTGTTGATACTAGCCTTTATTAGAGAAAACAATATGAATTCATACATTGGTCCATGGAAACCATATATTTATTTGAGAGAGGCCCTGGAGATTTACAGTTTTATAAATTGAAGACTTTTTCTATGTGTGTGTGTGAGAAAAAGAGAAACTGGAAAGAAGAGACTGAATCAGAATTTAAAGCTCAATTGTATCTAGAGTTCAAAATCCTACAGTGTCACTAATGTCCCTGCCCATGGCAGGGGGGGGGGGACTAGATGATCTTTAAAGGTCCCTTCCAACCCAAACCATTCTATGATATTCTCAGTTTTCTCCTACTGGTGTAATTATGGTGATTTATCAGGATACAACTCACAACAGCAAAGCTAAACATGGTCTAGAGGGCTGGAAACCACCTCTCAGATTCTGTCTGCTCCCCTCATGGTGCAGCAATGAGTCCCACCAGGAAGGCAGTTTCAGGGTCTGTGACCTGTTTGTGAGACATTGTGGGCTGCTTGGCAGGTGATTTGCTTTTGAGATTGCAGTTTGCTGCTGACCTGCCAGTGGTTTGAGAGCTGTGCACCCAAGGCTGCATGTTGGAAGAATACCCTTACCAGATAGGCAATCAGAGCCATTTATTGCGATGTAATTTGTGAAATACTGATATTTTCAAAGAAATGTCATTGCCCAGAAAGGTGATGTTCAAGTGAACTTAAGAAATATAAATTTGATTCAGTAATTTTTATTTATGCTGTTTATATGTAATATTTTGAAGGTGCATGTAATGATGTGCTTTGTAAGGTGCTGCATGTATCATTGTGTATGTAGAAAACTTCAATAAAAATGTTTTGCTTTACAATCTTTGTATGGAAGATTGCAAGTTATTAACTTATTCGTCTCTGTCCAATAATACTAGTTTTAAAGTCTGTGGAACTATTTGGCCTTCAAGAGATTATTCTAATGGAAGTAGATTTCTTGGGGAAGGACCATTTTATTATCCACTGATCAGCTTTTGGACTTTTTTTTTTTTTTGTTATTTTGCATTCTGTCACTTGCCACTGTCCTTTAGAGAATGTGTGCCTGAAGCCATACATACAAAGCTTTGCTTCTCTTTCTTGTTGAATTAGTCCAATAGCTTCTCTCTGGGTTACTGAAGTTTACAATATAATTCAACGTAAACCAGAATCTTTTTCTTAGCTGTGGTGTCCCAGGTAGTGAACAGCATACACCTCCGGAGGGCCTGTTGCTCTGCAGCCCCAGTCTTGCACAGAGGAAGCGAGTGAGACTTTTGTAACTGAATTCAGGGGCTTCAAGATCAAGCCTTAAGTGCAGTTACCTTACCAGGGACCTGGAATTTAAAAGAATGACTCATTTCTAAGAAAAAAATGTTATGCAACTTCTGCAGGTTATGCAAATAGTGCTTTTCCCCTTTTCCTTCTCTCCTAATGAGTCATCAAACCTTTTCCTGACAGTGAAAACAACTGAAAAGTTATTTGTTGGAGCGTAAGGAGATGAGGGACTGTGTCTACCGTGTTTTCTGTACAGTGAGTCAAAGGCAAAGAGAGCGTTGTCAGCATGTCCTTCACCTCTGCTGTCCCATTACCAACTTCACCCCAGTTATTTTGTATTTTATTCCTGCTATTGTCAATGCAGATTATCATTTAGAATCTATTAAGTTTTAACATGCTAAAGCATCCCCGCAGGGCCTCTTTGCAGGGTCTGTCCCTGTCCCCTAGCTCCATCCTGACAGTGGATTTAGCCAACATGTGGCTTCAAAAGCTGCAGTGGAGGCTGGAGTTGTTGTACATAAAATACACCTCTACCAGGTGAGACGTGTTTCATTGGGAGAAATGTCAGCACAGCTCTGGAGCGGGCCTCCATGGCATGCAGGAGGTAGGAGAACATGATCTCAAGTCTAAGCTACAGGAGTGTTAAGAATAAGATAAAATTTTGATTTTGTATTAAACTGAAGAGATCGAGATGAGACAGAGAGGAATAATGGAGGATCAGGGCACCCCAGCAAGTCGGAGGAGGCTGATTTAGGGTGTATCCTCCAGGCCCTGTACAGGTATGTAGGTAATTCTAGTTAATTCACTGCAACCTCCATACTGCAACAGCCAGCCAAAACCACTCAGCACCTGCTTTTGATCTTCTGACATCTCTTAAGACACCTCTCTGAAGATGTACAGAATAGCAGGAAATTTAACGTCTAGGATGAAAAGCGTGTATTCCGGCATGCATCCTTTCTGGCCTGAAATGCGGAAGCTTTAAGCAGTTGTTGGTGGAGTATTTGCCATTGTCTTTGGCATGAGATCTGTCTTTTCCTGTGGATATGTTTATTTTTCAAAATGATGAAGAAACAGAAGTCACCGAGCAGTGCAACTTCTGTTCCAAAAAGGCTTGATTAGCACAGGGGTCTAAAAAAGATAAGTTCCCTTTGGTGATAATTTTATCATTGTCCTTTTCTGACCAGAACTTTTCTCGTGATACTTCCGAGCTTTGCTTGCAAAGTATCCACTGTAGGAAACTGGGATGAAATCTAATACTTTTCTTTGGGGAGGTGTTTGAAGGAAAAAGATATCTGTTGTGTCGAAGTAAATTTTTCAGAAATTGCAACTTAACTGCATACGCAAAGCACTACTTTTGGGTCTTTCCTCTTTTTTCCATACTGTTTCGAACAGAAAGTTTTCTAGGGCAAAATGTCAAAGGAGTCATGATTATTTCTGCTATGGTTTGTGCGTGTGTATTGTGACAGGGCAGTAACCCCCCTTTTTTTGACATGGCTTAATTTTCTTATTGCTGGCTCATTGGTGATGAGCCAGCTGATTAATATGTTGTTTAACTTCCTTGTGTCTTTTTGTTCTTAAAAGTCTGCAACAATGTACAAAACCCCAGTAACAATGGCTGATTTTGCAAACCATGGCAAAAATTTGTTTTGAGGGTTTTTCCCAGGGTAACACTGAGAACTTTCTGGATAGTTTATATTCTTCAATACAAATTGTGGGCAGATTACTGTGTTTTTTCAATCTGTAATATTCTCACGATAAGAAATTATGTCTGTTCTCTTTGATAAGGAAAACTTAATCTTTTGGCCTCAACATGAGACCAAAGACAAATTAGGTCTTCCTTTTGCCATTTTATTCAGTTTACTGTATACATTGGGGATTTGAAATGCTGTGGCTAAAATACTGCAGTGGCTGACTATGGAGCTACTTTGCATCAGATGTTATGAACAAAAAACTTGGTTATGAATAAAAATCTTTTAAAATTGGTTTTCTCACTTCAACCAGTAAGTAAACCGTGCTCCTTGTTGGTCAGTATTTCCCATTTTTGTTGTGGTGGGAATCTTCTCCCTGACAGTCCCCCTTTCCTGCAGAGGGACTCCTTAATCTGGGAGGCCAGGGAGCTATTCTGCTGGAGGTGGTAAATGCATTCAAAGCAATGGTTTGCTATGAGAATCTCAGCTGTCCTTAAACTCGAGAAACTTGGAAAAGCTGGGAGTCAAACAGAAGTGAGAAAACTGACTTTGGACATGCTGAATGCTCTGCTTATCAGCTGAGCACCTACATCAGTTAATTGCTGCCTCTCCCCTGCTCCCACCTCTGTGGCTGAATGGTATTTGGTGTCCTAGTGATGCTCTGGAGCAGTTTTGCAGTGTGCAAACAGCCTCTGCTTTATCTGCATCCAAAAGAAATTTGGCAAATGACTCTAGTTTCCCCAAGGACTTGATTTTTTTATTTCTTTCTGCTTCTAGGTGTCAGTCAGTCTCTCCACCGCCTCTTTTGTCCCCACGAAGAAGCCCAGCCTACCCCCTCAGTGACAGTGAGGACTCTTGCCACTCTGCTCGGCTCACCAAAGTCTCCAGCTCCAGACTGCGCCTCAAGGACTGGAGCAGCCGCACGTCTACGCTGCGAAGCACCTCCACAAGCCCATCGGACACCGACTCCCTGAGCCACCCTCTCAAAGCCATCAGCGTGGGTGCTTTGGATAAAAGGCTGTCTGTGTTCAAGGCTGAGGACCAAAAGGAGAGTCCAAAGGAGGCTCAAGATGGGGATTCGGTAGGGAGCCATCCGCTCGCCCGGAGCACTCTGTCCTTGGGCACTGCCACCAACTTGAGGAACCTCTCCCTCAGCCGCGCAAGCGTTCGCTCCCAGGTGCTGGACATCAGGCAGAAGATCACAGAATGGGAGTGCCGCCAGGAGCCGTCCCCCAGGACGAGCGCGTGTGTGGACAAGAGGGACACTGGGGAGAGGTCGGGCAGTGAGAGCTGCCCCAGCGTGCTGACCTCTCCCTGCAGCGAGAAAACATTCGATTTCAAAGGGCTCAGAAGAATGAGCCGAACCTTTTCTGAGTGCTCTTACCCAGAAACGGAGGAGGAGGAGCTGCTGGACAGGGATTCCTGCCATCGGTTGGAAAAGAGACTAGGCAGGAGCGAGCCTCCTGCTGCTGCTTTCCTCAAGGGCCACGCGAGGAAAGAGTCCTCTGCCGTGCTGAACAGAATACAGAAGATTGAGCAGGCACTGAAAGAGCAGCCCGGCAGAGGCCTCCCCCAGTTACCCAGTAGCTGTTACAGTGTTGACAAAGGGAGGAAAAAGTCTGTGACTCTGAGTACTGTGGAGGGACTGAGTGAAAGCCTGAGTGATAGCAAAGGAGGGACTGTTATTTTGGGGAGTGATCCAGAAACACCTACTGAGGCTGAGAAAAGCAGTAAGACAAAACAGGGGGTCACTGCAAACTCAGCTGGCCCTAAACTGCTCCTCGAAAGCCCAGCTAACACTGCGGTGAATCCTGTCCCCAAGCCCAAACGCACCTTTGAATATGAAGCAGACAAAAACCACAAAAGTAAACCCAGCAATGGCCTACCTCCATCCCCTACAGCGGCTGCTCCTCCTCCCCTCCCGTCCACCCCGGCACCCCCTGTGACCAGAAGGCAGAAGAAAGAGTCACGCTTTCACAGAAAATCCCAGAATAGGTAACATTCAAGGAAAATGTCTTGTTCTCAGCCTTCAAATAAATAAATGTGCTGTATTTGTTTAGTAACAGTAGTTTAAATTCTCCCTCTAATGTAACACTTTTGACCTGAGAAATGCTAGGAATTGCACGCAAGACAAGTTATTTTTTCCAGTGGAGCGCACTGATGGGATGCACTGGTACAATACCTTTACATGGCTACAGTTTTGGAGTTCTCCAACCTGCATTCCTTGATCCCTGGAAAAGGCTCTAGGTCAGGTGTGCTAAAGGTTATCTCATTCATTTTGGCACAAATGCCCTTCCTTGAGATTTTTAACGGAGCTCCTTTCCATTATCCTCTCATAGTGGGACCGTAGCCGATCTGTCACAGTCTTGTTTGCTGCAACACATACCTGCAGAGGGTTTGTGTTTCCAAAGCTTGTTACCACAACAGCTCTGTCACTATTATACAATGTTGGTGATTTATTTAATTCAGTGCTTAGAAATGTTGTCCTATGTTACTGTCAATAGCTGAAGAGGATTAATGCTGAGAAAAGTGTATTATAGCCCAGAAAGGCTTTTATGTCCTTCCTGAGTTAATGATGAACAGAGTAGACGGCTACCTTTCCCCAGCAGTCTGTGGAGCTTGGCTTGTTTTAATTACATGATTCCCCTTGACTTTTTGGAAATGGTAAAACTCATTCTGCTCACTGCTTAGAAAATTGTAGGCATAGTTGTTGATAAGCCTTCAAGGTTTGGCATTTTTAACAACTTCATCTGTCTGTGCACGTGTACCATGCACACACACTCTCTTGATATTTAGTGATGAGCTTTGCAAGTAACTGCTAAGTGGCATCTCAAATGCACACTATCAGTTCAGTATCTGGTGCTTCATGTTGGCTCAATTAATTAAAAATTTATGTCAGCACAACCTGACCTGAAGTATGCTAGGGCAGGAGGAGAAGAGCCTTCAGATTCTGCTCTTTACATTCGAGAGACACCTGGTTCTGAAATGGATCAAACAGCTCTGCTGATGTGCGTCATTTCTGTGAGAAAGGCGGGGGGGGGAGAGAACGTGGAAAGCCAAGCTCTGATTAGCAGTGCTTATCTTTGAGTTCTGGCAATAATTTCAGTTAGAGGAAGTAAATCTAGTTTTTAACAAGAATGCATGAAATAAAGCTGACCTAATTTTGTTCAGCACAGGATTTCCAATATACAGAAGACAAACTATAACTTTTAAATGCTGTAAATGGTAGCCTTTATTGGAAAATTAAGGTGATAAAATAAGTGGTAAAATGCTCTGTGGGGTGGGTGGCAGAGAGGAATGAATAACAGGAGATAATTCTTGCGCAGAATCACAGTGTGACCTGCAGCTAAGTGACCAAAGTCAGTCTTTGAGAACAAACTTAGCTGGAGTTTGAGACCATACATGTCCTCTGAGAACCACAGTATTTTGTTACAGTGAGTTTTTAGATGAAGTTTTGAAACTTCTTTCAAGAAGAGGTGCAATTGATGCTTGCAGCTGCTGTTCTGCAGTTCGGTCTCCCGTCATAGCAGAGTTAGCCAACAGCGTGGAATGGAGCTGCAGTCCTGGGTGGGGCCAGTACGAGCCCCAAACAAAAGCAATATTTATCAATGTAATTTGTGATTAGTGGAGTATAAGTTGTAGGATTTACAGTGTTATCGTGTACCTGATGATTCTTGCAAATCAGTTTGACGTTTTGCAGGGTAGGTTTTCATTTGCTTGTAACAGCTCTGCCCTGCTGTAGTGTAGTGATTTCTCTGGAGTTACCTCTGATTAATGATGATCTAAGTAAGGTTAAATCAACCTGCTAAAATCTCAGGTTTGCTGACTTCAAGACTGGGTGGAAATCCTTTATAAAATCTTAACTTTATTGTCTTTGCTACTGTCCTTCCTATAGTTACAGTAAGGAGAATTCCAGCATTTACAAAGCGCTCGAGATTGTACCAGTCATCTAAGGATGACAGTATTTTGTTAATAGTAGTTATTGAAATCTCAGTCTCTAAACTGTTCTCAAAGAACAGACATAATTCATTATGTCTACAGCTTATAGCTCAGTGTTTCAGACTGAACATAGGTGTGGTTTGCACTTGCTGGAATGTCATGAGAACGGACTGTGGATATTTATTCTTCTAATATTTTGGTTGAAAACATAGGTTTTCTTTCTGGTGGCTAACTCAACATTATAATAAATAAAATGGAGAAAGTCTCTCGTATTTGCATGCTAACATAGAGCCAGTCTGTATTCAGAGGAGATGGTGACCACGGTGGCTTCTACACTTGAGATTGATGTGAGCTGGATGTTCCCTGGTGGCTGGAGATCCTCTGGCACTGACACAGCGCAGGAGAGGAGTGTCACAGGAGAGGCTCAGGACACATAGACCACAGCTGAGTGCTGGTCCACAAAACCATTCCTGTGGTCCTATGCAGTGTCGCTGCATCGTAGCATTGCCTTGAAATCTTTAAGAGTTGGATATTTAACTACTTTAGAAAGTCTCATTTCATACATAAGTATGTCTTCAGTGCCTAGGTATCTCCTATAACTGCCAGTAGGCGTGGAAGAGCAGATGTCTGGATCTGACTTGTTTCTGCCATGATCTTGATGCTCATAACATGGACCTGGATATTGTTAAGATTACAGAAAGGAAAGAGAGGAGGCCCCAAACCCATAAGTCTGCTCCAGCAGACAAACAGGAAATGCTCTCGTCAAAGGCAGTGTCTGTACGACAGTCACCGTGTTGCCTGTACAGATGCTCTTGAGCCAATTAACAGGCTGAGGGGTGTCTCACAAGACTCTGCCACTGCCACATGGATATATTGTCAACATATGTTTCATTCCAGCTGGGGAGAAGAGGAAAGGGGGTTGATGGTAGGATGGTTGCTGTTAATCTAGTTTGGGTGTCAGTGGGTGAAGTATGGGCATCAGCACAGTCTCTGCAAGCCTGACAGCACCTCAGGATTTACACTCCAACCTGAGCCCATTTTTCACACCATTTTGTCCTCATCACTAAATCAGTCAAACAAATGCTAGCCTCTCTGCAGCGGGCAGTGATAACCATGCACCTCCCAGCTTCGGTGTAGATGTTGCACCAGAGAACAAGTGCTAAGCAAACTGGAGAATGGGGAGGCGTTGGGCTCCCGTCACCCAGAGCTGCTGGGCAGCACTGGGACAGGAGTGGGTGAGAGATGGTAAATCACCTCTCCTTTGAACACCTGGGTGGGAGACAAGTTGTGGGGGTTCCTCTGACCCAGCTGCCCCCCACCTTCCTGCCAGAAAACCCAAGCCTTCAGGCCCCCAGCCATCAGGCTGGGCTGCTCATCCACCCTGGAGAGCTTTAATTTCCTCTGTGCTTTGTCCTTTGCTGCCAGGGCTTGATGCGGGGTGTGCAAGGGCAACGGGTGGCTTTCACACGAGTTGCCTTTGGCATTTGTACACTGACCTTTATGTGGGACCATATCTGGAGGTTCAGGAGATGTGTGAGTGTTTTCAAACTCAGGACACCATAGCAACTGGTGGAGGAACGCTTTCCAGAGAAATGTCTTTTTCTTGAGCGGAGATGGTCACATGTTTCTGGGGCCCCTGGCAAGAGCAAAACAATTCCTAATCTGAGGACTGTGCCTCTAACTTACTCTGTAACCCTTGAAAAATATCACATACTTTGTTGGCATTTTCTCCCTGTCCACATAATGGGGATAGCAATACTTCCAACCTCATACAGGTATCAGAGATTGCTATACTAAAGCCTGTTGTGAGTGCAGGACTTGAGGTCCTCTAAAAGTTAGTCCTTAAAGCATGATGTGAGATTTTTTTGTTGGTCTTTATGTATATTTCTTAGCAAACAAATGCTCAGCTAAGTGTCTGAATAATTTTGCATTCTAGTTCCTAATTACTTATTGTTTTAAACTTTAGAAAATCCTTTGAGTTTGAGGATGCATCGAGTCTGCAATCCCTGTACCCTCCCTCCCCAACTGAAAATGGGACTGAGAGCCAGCATAAATTTGGATCCAAGAGCACTTTAGAAGAAAATGCCTACGAAGACATTGTAGGTAAGAACTACTTGTAGTACATGGGCTCGCAGCGGGATGTTGAGCAGTTGTGGTCAGACTGTGTGCTGTGGAACACATGTCCCATGCAAGAACATTCAGTGCTGTCAGTAGAGAGACATTAAATGGAGGGCAAATGGGTTTGATGCATCAGTGCAATGTAACTCTCGGTCTGTGTGGAGGAGATCTTGATTCCTTTGGACTTCATCAGGTGGTATTGGAAACAGACCGTTTGGCCAGCTTTTGCCATGCTTTTCAAGAACCAAATATTTCTTTTTATCAAGGCCTTGGCTTGAAGCCTTGAGTGGTGTAAAAATGTAAAGAACTGAACTTGAGACAGTGTTTACAGAACTATCCGATAGCAAGATTAACCTCACAGGCCTTGTGTGGTCAGCCTGAGCTTTTCAGGACGCCTGTGTGGACTGCCCCAAAGCAGTTGTTTGTAGCACTGTTCCTGGTCTCCCCTAAGTCCCAGTTGCTGGTTAAAGAAAAATTAATTTCCTTTAGCTATACAGCCATCAGGAATGCACAACAGAAACACTGTTTTGATTAAGCTTCACAAGAAAAACATGTTTCTTTTGGTCTTAGAAGGAAATGTATGGCCTATGCATACATTCTTTTAACATCAAAAAAGTTGTTATAATTACCGAAAATTGGGCAGCCCTTCAGAGCACAGATTTTCCACACAAGTGATGAATATCTGTATTGTATTTAACTCTTTCATTGTTGGATTATTACAACAGATACAAAGCATACTTCATTTTTCTTTGGACAATGAATCTTTATCTACTGAAAACTGGAGGGCTACCAAGATAGTCTGGGGCCCTAGAGCACATGTCCTCTGAAGAGACATTGACAAACTGAGCTTGTTTAGTCTGGTAAAAGGAGGACCAGAGGCACTCTAATACTGCTTACAAATGTTTGAAGGGCAAACAAAGATGATAGAACAAAACTTTTCTTGGTTGTATCAGTTGATACAGTGAGGAACAGTGGCCACAAATTGCAGCTTGGGGCTCTTTGTACTTACACCCAAATTCTGTCTCTGGCTTGTCAGCCTCAGTGAAAACAGGAATTTACTCTTTCAATTTTCAACTGTACTCTTCCTCTATGCCATTCAAAAAATGCCTTCAGAACACAGAAAAATTGCTGCTGTTCAGTGCCTGTTAATAAAAGTGAGAGCTTATGTAGATACGTGACAGACCTTGGCAGGCTTGAGAAGTGGGCCCATGCAAACCTCGTGAAGTTCAACAAGGCCAAGTGCACAGTCCTGCACATGGGTCAGCACAGCCCCCAGTATCAAGACAGGCTGGGGGATGAAGGGATTGAGAGCAGCCCTGAGAAGGACTTGGGGGTATTGGTTGATGAGAAGCTTAACAGGACCCAGCCATGTGTGCTTGCAGCCCAGAAGGCCAACCGGTTCCTGGGCTGCATCAGAAGAAGCATGACCAGCAGGTCGAGGGAGGTGATTCTCCCCCTCTACTCTGCTCTCGTGAGACCCCACCTGCAGTGCTGCGTCCGGCTCTGGGGTCCTCAGCACAGGACAGACATGGACCTGTTGGAGTGGGTCCACAGGAGGGACACGAAGATGATCAGAGGGCTGGAGCCCCTCCCATATGAGGACAGGCTGAGAGAGTTGGGGTTGTTCAGCCTGGAGAAGAGAAGGCTCCAGGGAGACCTTAGAGCAGCTTCCAGTGCTGAAAGGGGGCTACAGGAGAGATGGGGAGGGACTCTTGGTCAGGGGGTGTAGTGATAGGACTCATAGGCAGCTTTCTTCAAATTAAAAGATATCTTGGATTCCATCAAACAAAATCATAATGGGCTCTTCTAACTCATGGGAACTATAAGCTAGCTCCCTGCAGATTATAATTTGGGCATTTTGGCAGGGCAGTGGGAAGAGAATCCAAAATTTCAGATCTGTGGACAAACACAGAACTTCATTGTTTTGTACTGCTTTTTAACAATCTCTTTCCAAAGCACTTCATTCAGTACAGGCAGTGCGGGGGGAATACCAAATCAGTGTAATTCTTATAAACTGTCAAGCATGATTAAAGATAACTCAAAGCAGTTTGATCTCCAGCTTAAAAAAAAACTGTTGTAGTTTTGTGTATCACATCTGCATAACTTATACCAGTAGTGCTAGATCCAAGTCTCTTAGTAGCACTTTTGTACTCATGCAAACCAGGTGTCTGTAAGAGTGAGTTTATTTTATAGATTTACATCTGCTTCAGAGCTATAAAGGGCTCTGCCATTGCTGTTTTGGGTTTCCTTTGCGAACAGTTGCTCTAGAGGTGCTGGTGGGTTTTTTGTCTATACCTGGTTCAATCTCCTGCCTCCCTGAAAGCTTGTAGGCAGTTAAAACATTGTCACTGTTGTAATAAACCTAAAAAAGTGTGTGTCCCCAACCTTGCAGAATTTAAACTTTTAATGGAATTGTCAAAACACAAGAAAAAATGTTGTATTTTGATCATTGCACTAGTCTGAGTGAGAGTGCTCAGTACCCCACACAGTATCTTGTAGATATGTAACATTAAATATGCTTTTTAGAAGATACTCTCTGATAGATAACCCACAACTTATCCACAGCTCTCCTCTGCTTTCCAGTGAGGGAGAGACGTCCTGCTGAGGGGCACCAGGCTGGGGGATGTGGTGACCGAAAGGAGAGCTGGGCTTCTGTCCTGGGGGACCTCAGCAAACAGGAGTGGTTTGAAAAGTTTGAGAAAGACAAATACAGTCCCCCACGTGGGTCAGAATAACCTTCTGATAATGCAATACAATATATAATGATTTAATAAATAAGGCAAACCACTCCTTGGCCTGCATTAGCACGAGTGTGGCCAGCAAGTCACAGGAAGTGGTAATTCCCCTCTATTTGGCCCTTGTAAGGCCACATCTGGAGTATTCACAGTACCCGAGAGACATCAACAGACTGCAGATAGTCTAGAGCAAGGCTACTATGGTTGTTGAGGCTGGAGCATACAACATAAACAGGAAAAGGTTGGGAGAACTGGGACTGCTTAGCCTAGAGAAGTCTGGGGGAAGGACCCAAATGCTGTCTTCCACTGCCTAGGAGGGGTTATGGAAAAGGCGGAGGCAGGCACTTCTTGGACGTGCATGGTGAAAGGATGAAAGACAATGGTTGCAAACAGCAACAAGAATAATTCTGACTGGATAAAAAGAAAAATTGCTTCACAGTGATATCAAGAAAAAGTCAAGTGCTAGGACTAGAGTCATTGGGTTTGTGGTTACTACGTGACCTCCTCATGTGATGCATATGCACACTAAACCTTTGTCTTTCTCCTGGTGCCCTTACACTGTTTCCTTCTTTAATGACCAGGACAGGGATTTATGTTATTTTGAGAGCTGACTTAGGAAAAGAAAAAAAAAGTTTTAAGGTACATTAAAACCAAAAATGATTGTGCTTTGAAATCCAGTGACACCATGAACCAGACACTTTGTTTAATTTTGTAATATTTTTGTAACTTTAGTAGATTAAATATCCGCATGTTAAGTGCAAGACAGGTATTGGATTGGAACATAACAACCCATTTTGCATTAATCAAGAAGCAGTTGTATAAAGGGGTGCACATTCCTAATATTAATGAGAGATGCATTCCATGTGCAAAGAACCATGTGGACTTCATTCATCTTCTGTACTAGCACTCCCAAGAATGTGGCAGTCGTAGTAAACTTAACATTGTTTTGCTTCTTGTGGTTTTGAATGAGTCTTTAATCAGACCAAAATTGATGTGGCTTTATGAATCCAGTTGAGGAAACCACGCTTGGCTTTGTGCGAATTCAAGAAACTATCATAGTATTAAGAGACATCTGAGATGGTTGCTTCTGCTGTGTTTGTGGACAACGGTATTTCCTGTCATATGTAGCATATGGTTTCAGCTTTCCAGCGTGGTCCTCTAAATGCAGTTGAGATATTTGAATGTTGTTATTTAAGGCCTGGTGTCTCTGAGGCATTTTTCACCTGATATCTAGAAGAATGTGTTATCACCAAAAATTCTTGAATGAGTAAAGGCAAGGTTAAGGGCACAATATTAAATTTAACTTGAGAAAATCTAGTAAAGCCATGTAAATTACAGTTTGTGTTTGTAAGAGAAATTGCACTCACAATTCAGAAGTTAAATACAGTGGAAGAAATCTTTAATGAGGCAAGCCATCCTGCTCTGTTTGTAACTCCTCAGAGTGCTGGACACAGTAGAACAGGTGGAGATTTCCTCTAAGAGGACACTGCATAGATGTGTAAGAGACCCATGGCTCAGCTGGGCTGTGCATGTTGCATCACAGATTGAGAATATTTAATTTGATGTTGCACAGCTCCATTTGTCCTGTCCAAGCAAGAGCCATTTGCTCTTACATCTGCCTGGCCTTCATTGAAAACATTTTTTTTTTCTAGGAAGAATGAAAGTGATTAAAATGCTTTTCCTCCATGAAGATCTGTGACTGCCAGGGTTTCTTGCTCCTCTGCTGTTTTTGGAGTCATAGGTGGACTATTCAGCATGTAGCCCAGAAGTACGAGTATCAGATTGTAGGTCTTCTAACGGGTGTAGTCTGTTCCTAGCGCAATAAGAAGAGTGGTTTGTATAAGAATGGGTTTATTTGGGCCACATACGCTAGTGCAGAGAGGTCTTGCCTCAGTAAGGTTCCTGTTCTATCTGACTGGCTTACAGGCAAGACTGGTGTCTGCTCACAAAATTGCAGTGGTCCAGAGCACTCTTAGAACTCTGTTAGCTAACACGAAAGACAATGCTAATGAATTAACCTCTTTTAGAGTCCCCAGCTGGGATTAGGCTGTACACTTCTTTAGGATAAGACTTGCTTGACTTGCTGGACCTGTTCAGCATCATGTTTAGGAGATTTTGAGCCCCTTCAATAGCTGGATCCTTCTCTTGACAAATATTTTTTGCACCTTAAGAGGAGTTAAGACTGATGATAGCAGCTTAATCCCTAATCTTCTGGAGATACATAATTGAACCTTTGTACAATTGACACTC